AGAAATAGGAAATCACGTGGACTAGAATTTTAACTGCTTTTGGGCAATATAGGTATATACTAAGTTTCAGTCTTTCTAGTATTAAATATGGAGAATCTTATTTCTCGCAATTAAAAGTGGAAACAGAATACGAGTGGATGGGCCTAGTTTGATGAAACAGCTATTTAGGTTCAGCCAGTACCGAAAACGTCGAGAAGTTACCCAACAGGCGCTAAACTCGGTGTCGTGAACGATTAAAAAAATTTTTAATTAAACTGGCCGAGTCCGACGGGTCCGCCTGCCTTTACCCGGTTTCTTTTTCTTGGGGAAACTTGGTCCGCCGCGGCGGAAACGCGGCTTTTATTGGCGAACGCGTTTCGCGAATGTTTGCGGCCTTAATTAATCCGCCGGAAACGGCACCGAGGCTCGTTCTCATGAAATTCGACGCGCTAAGCGAGATCGCACGACAAAACTGTATTATTCGTTCGGTCATCGAACAACCTACTTATACAATTTGTCTGACCACGTAGAAACGTTTTCTACTGTCTCTTCATTTATTTATTTACTTTTAATTATTGTCGGTCTCAGTTCTCTCGAGTCTTCCTTCCACCGTTAAGTCCTACTCAGTGAACGATACTGGAAACGTTGAGACTCTCCGGTCCGTAGAGACCCCGGGTCTCATCCGGCTTCCGCGAAGCTCTACCGGCCAGTTTGACGGAGTCCTTTATAAATCAAGTCGAATCCGCGTACTCGCAACCGGAACCCCGTTCCGTTCCCGAGTCCCGACCGTTTTTCATCTGCCCGGAATCCGACGCAAAACAGATCCCGCCGTCTTTCCACTGGAACCAGAAAGGAGAAACGCGGAATCGCGGCGGGAAAATAAACGGGAAGTTTCGCCGAGATAATAATCTCCGTTTCCTGGCTGCGGTCTAAGGTTTTAATTAAAATTAACGACGATCCTTCTCGGCTCGGTTTAGCCTCGCCCCAAAAAAGTTACGCGTTATCGCCAACGGAACCATCTTTGTTGATGAAAGCTCGCGGGACAATTTCATTTTTCCACGAATTGCAGAACCGAAATCTCGAAACAACTAAATCGCTTATTAAACTTTTAATCACTCTGCAATACTGTATTCAAAATTATTATACAAATCGTATGTATAATCCTAAAAAATAGATTATTGATGATTTTATGTATAATCTAACAAAATAAGCTGTAAAAAATATAAAATTATA